CAGAGAGAGCGCTTCAACCAGAGCAGCCAAGTCTGAGAGGAGACATCTATCCGTCCCCTGGGGCCACCGCATCTCCCAGCACAGCACGTGGGGTCTCCGCCAAGGCCGTGCCGCCTGTGTGCCCGTCTGTACCCCTGCCTGTGTGTCAGCTGGGGATGCGACCTGTTTGCCCTCCCCTGGTACAGCCATGCTGGCCGGGCCCTGCTGCATAGATTACTCGCTTCAGGCTGAGCTCGGTGTTTTCCCTATCAGTAAATTTTTAAATAAGTTTTTAAAGTCAATTGGCACTGCAAAGTTTTGCCCTGGTGCTGACAGAGGAAGAAGCTTTCCTGGGGAAGGTGGCCGTGCATGGCTCCAGCTCAGCCATGTGGGGATGAAGATGCAAGGCCGCTGTGCTGGGGAGTAAATGCTTTCGGGGTCCCACTCTGCTTAGCATAAATTGCTGGGCAGTATTTGAAAGTCACACCTGGGAAAGGGTGCTCAGGCTTGCAAGGGATTCTCAGAGGAGGGGGAGCAGCCTACACTTTGCATTGCCTTAATTCTGCAGATTTAGAAAAGATGTTTAGTGTTCTCAGCATAAATGTTTTTGCATCTCTTGTTTGATAGACTAGAAGCTTCTAGAGAAAGTTTCACAAACATCTGCATCTGGATTTTTTAAAATAGAGATTAAAATGAATGTTTTATACAGATGTGATGCCTTTATTTTGAATGTAAATAAACATTTTTAAATCTAAGTATTCCTCTCTAATAACTTCAACAAAAATAACATTTTGGCTAGTAGCTAACCTATTTTTGCCATAGTTACACCATTGTAAGTAGAAAAAAGAACTAATGAAAGCTTCTGTAATTAGGGAGGAAAGGAGATGCTGTGAGGAGGGAAAGATACGCTGGAAACACGGTACAATATTAATATAAAAGCAACATATACCTAAATCCTTGTGTAATGTATCTTGGTAAACAAAGTCACTCTTCCACACATAAAGGACTATCTGCAGTTACCATATTAGGAGCATGGAGCGATCAGAGGCTCCGAGGTACCAGTGCAGCTTAGCTGACTAACTGCAAACTCCATCTTGAAATTTTGGGGCCAGTACACTGCTTTTTTCATTCACCTCAAACTGTTGGCTCCTCTTGACCTCCACCGAGGGCCACGAAGTCTGGGGACTGCAGCGCTGCTGCCAGCAGTGCTCCCACCCCGAGCAGCCGGGGCTGCCGCTGGCCATCTGCACTGCCGATCCTGGTCCTCCTGGGACCACGCTGTTGGCTCTGTGCCAGACCCAGCGTGCTTAAAATGGTCTGAGGGCACCTGCACTGACGCCTCCTGAGTGCCATGTGGACGTGGCATCGATTAGTGGAGAGGGCAAGTGTGTGAGAAGTACCAGGCAGGGCAAACAAGGTCTAGGTTAGTGAAGAGAGGGCAGCTTGTATGGGCTGGTGGCTGCAGGACAGATCAAGGCAACAAGTGGAAGCTGGGATGGTTTAAAAAGAGGGAACCAAAAAGCCTGAGTGAGGGAATTTGCTTAGGAAAAGAGAGGTTGAAACACAGGGTGAGACATGGGAAGGCAAAAAAGAAACAGGAGGAAAAAAGTAGGGAAGGGGATGGAGGAGCGACTAGGCAGGAGGCAGGGTGTAGTACAGGATGAGGCCAGGGTGAGAGAAGCAGCTCCTGAAGCAAACATCCAGAAGTAGAGCAGTGAGAAGAAAGGAAGAGGAAAGAGGAAAGGGGTGGTGGTGGTGGAGTTCAATAAATAATGGATTTTCACATGTTTTACTCAAATGGCTTGGATTTATTCAAATAGTGGGACCCTCAGCACCAACCCTTAGACCCAGCCAGACACGGCCATGCCGCATTCCTGGGTTGCTGTTGGGCTGTTTCCCATTTAGATCTGGGTTGTGCCTGCTCCTGAGGTGGGACTGGTACAAAATTGGGCTTTGCCAGCAAAGCTGTGCTGGCATCTGGCATGCTGGTCTGGAATAGCATGGCGTGCTGTTGCTATGTAATAGATGACCTCACAGAAAAGTGTTACGCAGACATAGCTGGGCTGAGCCGCTCCACCATCGGCTGTGGACAGCATCCATTTCAGCAACTAATGTACAAAAAGCTCAGTTTTCAGATGCAACCTAAAGGACTTTGATTTTTTAATCCGATTTGCCCCCCAAAAATGGAGATTATGGCCAGAGTATATCTTATTATCTGCTGGTTTTTCTCCCTGGTATGTAGCACAGCTAGTCCTTCTCCCTGCTACCCCACTGCAGCTGCACAGCACAAGGTGAAGAACGAATGGCGCCAGCGCAGGCAGTGCAGAAAGAAAATGGGGCAAAGGGAGAGAAAGGAACACAGGGAAGTGGGAGGCAGGTGGTTTGGGAAGCTCCAGGAAACTGCGGAAGTGCGGAGCTGCGTGCTGTGTGCTGGGACTGAGCTTCAGAGGGAAGGAGGATACTTCACACAGACACAAATGGCAGTCACAGGGATATTAGTATATTTAGTGTTTGCACTGTCAACGTCAGGATGGCACTTTATGGCTATAAAAACCCTAGCCCTGCCCCAGAGATAGCTTTACAGAACCTGTTTCTGTTCCCGACAGGTCTAATACAACCAAACCGTATGTGTATTTTAGCATGTTCTTTATAGCTGCTTCTGAAATTTCCCAGGGAGAGATGATCCCGAATGGATCATGTCCAAAAAGCGAATGGAGCGTGTCAGTGCCATAGGTAAGTGTATTGATGTTAAGGACAAATACTAAATCGTCCTCTGACATTTTAAGATGATAGCTACTGGTTTAAATTTAAAAACCAGTCCAGGGACCAACTGTTAGAGATACTTGTCACTGCCCCTCTTCAGCAATTTGGGCTTTGTTCTGGCCGCTGAACTTTTGAAATCCTCAGAAGATAAATTTACAGTCTGTGTCTGCTCAGGGGAAGATTATTAAACAAGCAACCCCAAACAATTAAATAAAACCTTAGCTATATGCAATCATTTTAATTTAGTCCTTTGATATCGTTCATCTGATTAAGTTCTTGCCAAACAAACTGCACATAGAACTTGGCCTAGGAAGAGCGGACTAAGCCCATATGTATCCTGACAGAGGTGTTTACTCGAACGGAGTTATCCCAGCCTCGCTGTGCTTACTCGGGTACGCAAAAGGGCCTGGGGACAGGAACTCGGAGAACAATAAGGATAGAGAAACTTAGAGGAAATAACCTACCGGGAGAATGGGAATGCACTGGGAATAGAAAAATCAGACAGGAAGAAATCAGATATTGGGAAGATGCCTACGGAGAGGGAGTGAGAGATGCCCACGGAGAGAGGTTTGGAGAGGAGCAATGTGCTGGGGAGAGAGCACAGGGGCTGCCAGCACAGGAGGAAGGCAGTCCCAGGCGTGCAGCACCCCAGTGAGGGAAAGGGTGCAAGTCACAGGGGGTGAAGAGGAGGAGAGTAGATGGCCCTTAAATAAACTTTGACTAGAGAGGCTGTTCTTCAGCCAGCAGACCAGTATTTCTGGCTGCAGAAACTTTGTATTCCCTCCCTATCTTGCTGGACAGGAGCAGATGGAGAGGTAGGCCTTGACTGCCTAAGAAATTTTGACCGAGCTTGAGACTCATGTGTGCCACATCAGTGGAAACTCACCTGGCTGCCTCGGCCTGGGGCAGAGTGGGGCTGGCTCGGGGGTCCCTGCCCCTGGCCCCAGGGTGGGTACAGTGGCCCTCTGTGGAGGCAGCAGACAGCGATAACAAGCAGTCGCAGGCAGTAATGCAGCCCTTTCTGCACCGATGGCCCGGCTGCAACCCAGGCGCTGCTGGTTTTGACTCACTACTCATTAACAGGGTCCAGGCAGTGTGGTTCTCTGCTGCAGGACCAACGAGGGTCAGGGTTGGGGACACTGCAGCCACCCAAGCCCTGTCAGCATCTGCTCCCCATAGGCCTGGTGGGACTGTGGACAGACCATCCCGGAGCCCTGGCACCCTCCCAGGTGGGGCCCAGGAATGGAGTCCTCCCCGCTGAGCCAGATGCAGGGGGATCACTCCCCCCGCCAGGCAGGGCTCCCTGAGCTGGGGAGGGGTGGATTTCTCCCTGCCATTCTAACCTGGTCCTTAGTTGGAGAGAGGATTAGGGCAGGATGGGTGTCCCTAGCCTGGAAAAGAACAACTTTTGGGGCCCCAAACTACCCAAGACACTGCAGGGAGGATGCTGGGAGTGACAAGAGCAGTGGGGCGGCAGAGGAGGAGTTGCACATCCAAGCCACCTTGCAATGCATCAGGGAAAATGCCTCAGCGCTGGCACCAGGCCTTCCCGGAGGGGACCAGAGGCACTAGTGAGGGGCTCGCAAGGGTGACAAGGGAGGGGAGGCCGGGTGTCGGTGCCGCCACCCTGCTACCTGCCTACCGGGTGCAGGCGCTGAGCATGCAGCCCGTGGGGTGTGCACGCCGGGCCGCCGAGGCGGGGGGCGGCTGGGGGCTTACAAGGGTGGCGAGGGAAGGAGAGAGAAGGGGGAGCTCCCGCGGGGGGACGAGGGTCTCCCGGGAGGGGGGA